TGGTTTATCAGTGCCACACCCCACCCTGAATTTATCCTCCATTCTGTGGGGGCCCTTTAAAGAGGAACTGTCCAATTGTCTTGCTGGTGGACTTAGGGTCTCCACTGCATCCACCCCCCTTCTTTACATTTTGGATGTGTGTTTTCTGAACTTCTGGTACCTCTTGCTGCCAACACCTCATGCCAACACACAGGCTGGTGTTCTTCTTCCATATGGGCTTTTTTACTTCCCTGCTAGATGGCTGCTTGTTTAACTCCAAGCCTTTAAGACCCAAGATGCTATCGCTTTTTATAGCCAAGAACCTTCAGCTTTCTTCACCACATTTGCTTATGCAACCATTTTGTCTTCAGTGATCATGTCAGGGAGGTGGGTATCATGCAATTCCACAATATTAAAACAAACTATTCTTGTACTGATGTAGAGGCCCAAAGTCCATCTACTTCCTTGTTGCATATACATATGTGTACATATATAAACTAATACACATATATTCATATATACATTTATAACTCTCTATATATTGAGTTTAAAACAAAATAAATTATTCTTTCTTATTCCTATCTTTTTCTTGTTTTGGATTTATTTTATCATTCCTTTTTTATCTTCTTGAATTGAGGCATGCCAGACCAAAAGGGTTATATAAAATTGAACTTCAAACCAGAGCCTAGGATTTAAAAGTTTCTGAGAAACGTCCTTCTCTGTTCTAACAAGAGTCCATGCTCAGAAAGATGAGCTTCCTTAATATCTCCCTGCTTTATTGAGTAGATTTAGCTCCAGTTCGAGTTATCAGTGTTTTATGAGGACGGCGAAGGAGTATAGGTGGTCCACGCCCATCTTACAAGGTTTTAGGACTTTGACTTTTTGTTGTTGTTGTTGTTACAACCTCTACCCCTCAACTCCAGAACAACTGTAGCCTCAAGTTAGCTTCTGGCCCGTGGAGAATCACTGCACTTTTTAAAAAAAAAAATCATTTTACTGGGGGCTCGTACAACACTTATCACAATCCATAGACTCACTTCACTTCTATCAACCTCAGCTGTATATTTTAAAAGATGTGTGTTAAATTTGACACACAGAGGTGGGCTTCAGGTTATCTGAATCGCATCAACAGCACCTGAAGTTCCAGAAAACACGATGCTGAATATTTTAAACGTGGCAGTACTTCTAGAATTGAAATGCAAAGGATGGAGTGGGTTTTGTGTGTTTGCTTCGTTTCAAAGGACATTCTTGGAATCATCAAGCTATGCAGCAGGAAAAGTCTATAACAAGGAATTAAGTTCAATCATTTAAGCCCTCTCTCTATTCAGTTCATAATAATGCCATAGGTTTTCACTTTTAGTAAGACTTTCATGGTTCAATCTAACGACTACATTATTTTTCTGTCTTATCTCATTGACATCTCAAAGCTAGGCTCATTTTCATGGTTTTCAGATTATGACAACCACACCTCCCATCAAATTACTGTAGGCACTTCTGGACGTGGAGTCCTCCTGAGATGATCTGGGCCCATTCCCAGTGACCACAGACTGACTGCTCACAGTTCTTGATGACCTCATCCCTTTGAGGCATCCGTACTCGTAAAGAAAGCAAGGCAAACCTTGGTGATTCAGATCAAACCTGGCTCCACATTTGCCATTAAACTTGGGAGTAAAATAAAGTCAATCCCACCCAAGTTGTGTCTTATATTGTGAGTGGTTTGGGGGACTAATTTTCAACTACATCTCTCTTGCTTTAGACTTAAAATAATGAACGGTAATGTCAGTGTTTGGAAGCAATTATAAGAGAGACCAGGAAACAACACTTGTCAATTATCAGATTATTTTGCACCAGAAAGACCTCAACATTTGTTCAATTAACAGCTATTAGCTTTTGACTCCCAATTTCACTTTAAATCTCTCTCAGACCCACATCAAACATATAATAATATCCACCCATCTTCAAATGCCTTAGGTTCTCTCAAAGAAAAGTCTCCCTAACCAAATTTAAAGAAAAAATAAATCCTCTCGTGTGTGCTATATTTACTTTCTTTGAATTACAAACAAATGTTTTGGTCTTCAGGCTCATGGCTCTGATTGTCCTTCTCATTCTGTACTGTCATGCTATAAGGCTGCTGGAAGAACTCAAGTCCACTTGACTCAGAACTTTTAACCCTATTCTCCCCTCTCCAGCTGTTGAATGTGCTGTGCTGCTGGTGCAATCTAGACGGTTCAAACTCACTAGCCACTCCATGGGGAAAGATGAGGCTGCCTGCTCCCACAACAGTTTACAGATTTGGAAAACCTATAAAAGGTTGCCATGAGTTGAAATTGACTTCATGGGAGTGGGTTATTTTGGGTTCTCCGTGCCCCATCCCCCCTCAACTGGGGCACCATGTGATGCTGGTATCTGATGCAGGCTTGTACTACAGATGACTCTTACTTCACCCCTTGGTTTCTCCAGAAGAGAATTCCATCAGGGAGCTTCTTGGGGCTCCCGGAGGTGATCAGAATCAGATGTCTCCATTATTCTTTGTTTATTCTTTTCCTCTACTCTTCAATGGGGTGATTTCAGGGAAGGAAGGTTAAGCAATCAGGAAGAAGTAATTAATACGATAACAAATTTGAAATATTTGTAAAGAAAGCATTATTGGTAAGATTTCACTTTAAAAAATACATACAATGCACATTACAAAGCAGACCCCAGCTTGCTTTCTAGAAAAAAAATATTTTGAAAAGTAATATACCGTAAATAACAGAATTTTACAAAACCCAAATACTTTATTTCCATATTGACATGAGTTGATAGTGCTGCATTTCACGTTTTGAAAGCTGAACAAAATGGAGACAGGAACAAATACTGAGTTTATAATGAGTAGTTAAGAGATGCAACTTGTGAATATTTTTGCTTTAACTATCTTGCACTTGAATAAGACGCGATTTGTTGTTAGAAACTAGAAACTTGGCCACTGATACATGAATCAAACTGATTTTTTTAAAATCTCTAGAGTATGTAGTGGTACCATTATGAAAATATGGTTCTACTTAATAACATCCGATGTCTGGTCCTCTAGAAGTATTCTTAAAATATGGTCTAGATATAACTGTTTCTGGATTCAGTCAATGTTTTCTGATTGGCTCAGGGCTATGTCAAATGTAAGTATCTGTTATTGCCCTGGATGAGCTCCCAGGAATCTTAGCAGTGAAGGGGAGGGGAACCGGACTTAAGAGCACAGACACTTGAGCCAGACTGTCCGGGTTTCAGCCCTGCTCTGCACCTGGTCAACACCGAGCCCCTGAGCAGCTTATCTAACACCTCGGGGCCTTGGTTTTATTATCTGCAACATGGAGACAAAGTCCATGGACTCAGAAGGTTGCTGGGAGGATGAAATGAATACACACCCACGACTTAGAACAGTGCCTGGTCCAGAGTAGGTGCCCCGCACATTTATTTCAGTGACTCTTTGAGATTCTCTGATGTTAAAACTGAGTCAAGGGTGCTTACCAACTTGGGATCAATCTCTTCATTGAGAACAGCTTCGTTCTTGATAAGCGCCACTCGTTGTGCAAATCTGCAGGTAGATATAGATTCCTAAGAAAGGAAAATGTTGTTTTAAAATGTTGTGACATAGAAAGGTATTTCTCTGTAGATACAACTCAATTTTTGTTCACGGAAAGCACGATGCTGTACACTCAGAGAGTGATGTGGTAAAGACACAAGGAAGAAACGGAAATCTCCAAGTTGATGAACTTGGCTCCCGATGGGTGTTTTTTTTTTTAAATCAAATTTGTGCTTTGCCTTAATAAACGATGAATGACAAAGCTGTAAAGGGGTCACAAGGCCTAAGAAGCAACAGGCATGTGTTTTCAACAATTTATCTGCTAAACCAGTCCATATAAAATCATAATCCACAAGCATGAGAGGCAACAAAATAAAAAGTTCTACCAAAGGAAATGTTTTTCAAAGCACTTTACAACCCACTTGGGACTTGGCCTTGTTTTGAGAATCCCCCCTGGTGCTTCCTGATTTTCCCTTTTGGAGGGATTCTGGGCCCCAGATGTTACACTGGAGTCCAGGAAATGCCATCTGGCCTTAAGATCACCCAGGAATGGCACCCTACAGCCAGGCAATGTACCCTGGGTGCTATGGGACTACAATGCCCGGGGACAGCGCTCAAAAACGGCTTCGAAACATTGGGAGGTTTGCAGGGGTTAAAGACAACAGAGGCAAATACTGTGACGTGCTATCCTGCAATGTTGGGGGTGACATACAGGCTGCATAGATGAGGGAGAGGGAGGTACAACTCACGAATGGATGTGCATTTGACAAAGGATATTGGTATGTGTCTATTTTCTTTTGGTGCAAACTACATCCATGAACGTGATAGAACCTACAGGAAGCGGCGTGTGAGAACTTCTTAGACATAAGCACACACCCTGAGGTCTGGAGACCAGGACCACAGTCTTAGGGGTTTATGGGCAAAACAGTTCACAAAGATAGTGCTCTCCATCCTAATGTAATGAATAGCAATTAAGGTCTCAAAAGCTCACGAGCCGCTGACTAAGGTGCAACTATTTGTCTCTCTCTGACCAGTGGGAAGAAGAGTGGTGAAATCAAGACACATGGAGAAAATTAGTCTCGTGGACCAATGGACCACACACACATCAGTCTCCACAGTCCTGCGAGCAGTCAGCCGGTCCCTGGCTCTCACGACCAACTGTGCTGAGAAGCATCACATTAGGAGTTCCTGGGGAAAATATGGAACAGAACTCAAAACCACAAGAGAGACCAGGCTTACTGGTCCGAGAGAGACTGGTAGGAACCCGACCATGGGCCTTAGTTACCCTTCAGGCTGGACATGAACTCACTGTGTTAGACTAATCGATCACTTAAGATCAGAAGGGCAGGCTTTGTCGCAGGACGACAACATTCAGAAGGGTTTGGAAAGAAGGGAGAACGGAAGAGGAAACATGAGGAGGAAGCGGAGCGATGGTTGAATCGCAATGCGTATGGAGTGTCAAATGTAAAATTATGATCTGCTCAGTAAGCCTTCGCCTAATCCACGAGAAAATGCTTAAGAAAATCATTCTTCCAACTATGAAAATATTGGGAGCCACGAGTAAAACCTAGCAGAAGCAGATGAGTCATCTCTCTGAAGGAGCTCAGCAGTAGGCATTCCAAAGTGTGCCGCTTCTGCTTCCAGTCATGCTGTGCCCCATAGAGTCGGTTCTCAAACGAGGTTATTATAATGCGTCATGGCAAGTAACCCAGAGTCGTGACCCCCGCAAGATGGAAACCCAACCTGGACCCTCAACTCCACCTCATACATTCACAGTGAAACACCCAGACTGGGGCTTCCAGCAAGAAGCAACGTACGTCGATATTCCTCTTCTCCAAAGAGAGTGTTGCGATCATGGTTGTCATGCAGTTCCCTCCCAAACTGTCCCTCAGGACACTGGTCATCATGGAGTTCCTATAGGGGATGTGCGAGCGGTGCTTTTCTGAAAGGGCAATGATCACCTGTGGAGAATTAGAAACACACTGGCATCCCTTGGCAGAACATGCACGTATGACACACAACGGAGTGGCAAAGGCAGTAAGGACACAGAGAGAAAACACTCACTACATGCAGGGTGACCCCCACACCTTGGGCTGCTGCTGCAGCATCCCACGCGTGTCCCCGCCTCAGAGCTTCTGAACTTGCTGTGCTTTCTGCCTGGAATACCCTGCTCCTGATTTCCTATGGCTCCTTGCTTCTCATCGTTCCGATCTTGGCTCACATGTCATCTCCTCCCAAGGGTTTTTCTTAAATAACACCAACAACCCCACAGCCATTGAGTCTACTCCAACACATAGTGGCCCAAAGGGACAGGGCTTCCAAGACTGTAAGTCTTTAGGGAAGCAGAGCACCATTATCTTGCTCCTGTGGAGGAGCTGGTGGGGTTTCAACCGCTGACCTTGGGGTTAGCAGCTCAACGTTTAACCCACTGTGACACCAGGGACCCTTCCCCACCGAATATCAAAACAAATGATCCAATGATTCTCCAGGCTGCGACTACAATTTTCTTCCTTAAAGTGTTCGTCACTATTTGAAATGGTACTTATTTACATGAAGTTCACATGACTGCCTAACTCACAGAAATACTTTCAAGATCCAGACAGACCACTTCTGGGATGGTGTTTTTGAAAGGTAAAAGAAAACGCTAGGTGCTGAGCAGGGCTGGTCAGGCAATTTCATTCAGGATCCTTCTGAAGGCTTGCTTTAGGCATATAGCCCAGTCCCACACCATTTGCTCCAAGAGGACTCAGAATTGGCATCCTCTCAGCAGCACTGAAGGATGGCGCAGGGAGCTTAGGGAATACCACGGCAAGCCCGGCCCACGTGGGGCCAAAGACAGACTCCCACGGTGCTCTAGGAATGGACAATGACCAAGGGGGCTCTACGTGGTGGAGCTCCTCGTGACTCTGTGAACTGAGCAGGAATCCAATGACCTTCTGAGCAGTGCAGGGAATGGAGGTGGCCATCAACTTTTCTTTGTCGGGCTTTTGTTTTTTTGCTTTTCCTGTTGACTTCCACCTTGGATTTCATGTTTGTACACTGAAGCCACTCCTGCAACGGAGTGGAACCTCCCATGAAGCTGAATCACGTCTCTAAGTAGCTAGAGGTTGTGCCCGGAACCAACAATTTGGTTTATTTGAGTGAGTTCAAGAGACTTCTTTGAAGGAGCTGAAAAGGACATGGAAAATTTTTCTCAGAAAATGGGCAAAAATTCAGAGCGGTTACAACTGGCACCCCTTACCTTTCTTCCATACACAGCCCAGTCAGTGGGAGCCACATGGAAACCTAAGCTCCGCAAAAGCCCCACTTAAGGGCGACACGCCGGCTAGAAGCCACCGTTTCTGAATTCTGGAGAGGTGGGAGCAAACACGCGCCCTTCTCCGTGGTTTCTCACTTGATGTTTGGGCGGCCGGAGACCACGCAGGTCACACCAGGGGCACCCCGTCCGTGAGGCTGGCAGTGAGGACAAGCACACCTGCATCCTCCCTTCCTCTCCCAGGGGCTCGACTTCTAGGGCCAAGATGCACCCTGCTATTGTGGTGTAAGATGTTTTTGAGGGGAAACATTGGGAAAAGTACTGCCTCCCAAACCAACAGTTTGGGGTGGTTTGAAAGCTAGTGACTTGTGAGCACAATGAGGTACCTTCAGCTCACAAGAGGGGACGTCCCCAGCTAGCAGGTGTGAGTGAGGCTTCACCGTGGGGGCCACAACAATCGCAGCTCTGCGGGGAATTTCTCCAACGGACTCTGAGCTCATTAATGTAAGACAACCAGGTCGCCAGTTGACTTCTAGTCCCATCCTCTCAATCTGTCTTGAAATGGGGACAAGGAGGCTCTCGTTAATTGCTGCCACATTTCGTTGGGTTTCGATGGCAGCGGCTACCTTACTGTATGTACCTGTTCAGAGGCGTCACCCTTGCCCTGCGTAGTGTGACGGCGCAGGCGCTTTCTCCATCACAAATGTGCTCCTTCGCCTAACACAGCGCGCAGCACCCAGGGGGCACTCAGTCACAATTTGTTGAGTGAATACTGAAGGAAAGAAGCTAATTAAGTTAAATTGTGATAGGCTCCCAGTCTCGTTAGCCACATAATAAAGTATGATCTAAAGGGGAATTGAATTAGATAGGGTCCCTGAATCCTGTTGTTTCATTAAGTATCTGCCCACTCTCTTTATTATTCTTGCTGGGTGTAATTGTTGGTGCTCGCTGCGCATCCATTTCTATCTATCTCTCGGAATTCCAGATTTTTCCTCCGCTGCCCGCTGCCTGTTCTCTGGAAACTACTCCCAGGCTTTCTCCCACACACCCACGGCTACATCCTTCTGCCCCCAACCTCTCGATATTGTCGGGGCTCTCCTCTCGATCTCTCCTGTGAAAACACTTTTCGACTGAGTTTTTCTGTTTTATTTTGTCACCTTTTTTGTTGTTATTTGTTTCTTGTTTTATTCGATTATTTTTGTACCGGAAATCCAGGTAAATCTATAGCACCTGGATTAATAACTACCTAGGTCCTGGCAGGGGGGTTGGGGGGAAATGGAGAGCTAACAACAATCAGTAGGAGAAAGAAGATGTTCTAAAATTGATCGTTTAAGGATTGCACAACTCTTCTTAATATGATTGAACGATTAAATTGCATGGCATGTGAATTAGAAGCCAATAAAACAATTTAAGATTTAACAACCTCAGGGGTGCTGTGCGTGAAGATGAAACAGGTGCACTGCATTCAAAGAGCTCAGAGCAGTGGCCAGCGAATGTCTTTGAGACCCGAGTCCATCAATCCCTGGACTGGCACCGCAGTCTGGTGTGCTCCCTTGGTCTGGCTGGTTCTTGCTACCTGACACTCTCTCTGGCATCCTGCCTTGGAACTTTTCCCACTCATTCTCCGGCTTCTGGTTAATGTCATGTTTTCAATTCCACCAGGGGAGGTCGGATAGCCCCTTATAAGGTCTGCTCATTCTTTACTTTGTCTTCTCCGGCATTCCAGCTACATACTTACGATGACTAATGCATAGATTTCTACAGTGGACTGTGCCTGTTTCTACAGACCCACCACTAGGGTCTGAGGCCTGTAGGAGCCTGGTGGCACAGTAGTTAAAGTGTTGAGCTGGTAATTGCAAAGTCAGCAGTTCAAAATCACCAGCCACTCTATGGGACAAAGATGTGACTTTCTACCCCTGCAAAAAATCACCGTTTCAGAAACCCACAGGGACACTTCTACCTGCCCTACAGGACCCCTGTGAGTTGGAACTGACTCGATGGCAGTGAGAGTATCTAGGGCTTGGCCTAGTTCTTGGCACATTATAGGGTCTTGCAAATAGTTGCTTAAAAATAATTACATGAATATAGATTTATATAGAATATACACATATAGTCTACATAAATACATAGAATACAATAAGTATGTTTTATATAAGAATATTTATTTGTTTAAACATTTATTTTATTTAGAAAACTACCAGTACTTTTGGTGGATATGCTGTTATTCTATATAAGCATTTTAATATAGCCTTTCTATAGAAACACATAGAAACGTATTCTGATGTGTGTGTATATTATATATTTATATAGAAACTTTTGTCACCAAGAGGACTGATTCTGAAGAACTTTGCTGAGAAGAAACAAGAGATCATTTTAATGACAAGCAGCAGTTTGAAAAGGTTGGACAACAAGAAGGGAATAAAATGAATTTGGGGCAGAGTATTTCTCTTGGGTGATTATAATTGGTTCAAAGATATAATTTTGTATGAACAGATGGACGTAATGGGAATTAAAGTGGTTAGTGCTACCATCTGAAACAAGTATGTAGATTTCTTTGCAATAAAGCCCTTTGAATATGTTCCATTAAGCTTTCATATCAATGCTCTGTGAGTATCCGATTAAGGAAAAAGCTGGGTTTCATTCAGGAAGAGGGTAATATTTGAGCACAGGAATGCTGACTCTTGTCAGAAACATCACCCTCCTTGGAATGTCACCAGGGCTTTAACCCTTCCATGCTGCCCACTGGGTGGCTACATACTTGGGGACTATCTACTGGGGCACCTTGTTCAAACAGAAACCCCGTAGGCTTCTCTCAATCTGCTTTTAGCTAATTTTCCATTTAAAATGCTTTCAGCATAAAGACTACATCAATCTCACAGGGGTGATTTAGGCAGCCGAAAATAAGGGTTTGGGTTCGTTTGCTTTCTTACATCTTTTAGCCTTGAACATTCATCAACAAGCCCTTCCACCTCATCGATGTACTCTGTACTTCCCCACTCCAGTTTTTATGCATGCATCTCTCTCTCTCTCTCTCTCTCTTTTAGGATTGGAAATAGTATCCACCTTTAACATCCAGTTTATAGCATTTATAATCACATTGCTAAAAGAACTTGAGAAATCATCTAATTCAACCCACTCATTTAAAAGTAGGACGTTTCTTTTTTTCCTGGAAGATTTCTTTGGCTAACCTCTGATGAGCTTTATCTGCCCTTGAAGTTACTTTCAGTAAATAAAAATAGAGCACTGACTGTGGGTGGATTGGAGTCAACCTGGAGTGGGAAGGGTAAACTATAGAAGGCAAAGAGGACCATTGTAGGTCCAAAGTTACCAACTCAATGACATCCCCGGAAGCTAAATAAATATTGGTCATCTCTAGGTTATGTTTCCAAAGCCAATCTACTTGTCTCAAAAAATAGCCACAATAGGCCATTTATAATCTGTATTTATAGGCCTTACTAATTTTACAATAAAGATAGAAAGTATAACAACAATTGTTAAAGAACAGCTTTGGTGTCAATCAAATCTAGGCTCAACTCCTCACCCCACCACTATTTGGGTACCCTTGAGAAATTACTGAGCCTGAGTTTCAAAATCTGTAAAATGGGACTAATAACTAAGAGAGTGGAGGTCTCTTGAGATGTTTCCATGAAAGAATACCTAGAAAATGCTAGCGTATGCGTGACACATCGGATGGGCTCAGCAAGTGGTCACTGGTGATCTCACACTCTATTTTACCTGCTCTAAGTAATGCAGGGACAAGTTGATATACTTGGCCTCTGTTAGAAGCTGGCCCCCTACTCCAGTCTTGGCGACTCGTTCTGAACCGGCCAGGTCAACCAAATGGAGTTTGGCGTGACGGACCGTTGCAGATCCTGGTTCCTTGCTTGTTAAGTGAATCGTGAAGATGCAGTGAGAACGAGTCGAAGCTTGGTTCATAGGTGTCTATAGAAAGAAATGGCAAAACAAAGACAATTTGAAGAGTGAACATTTTGAATAATACCATGAGAGCTAGAACACTGTCCATGAAGCTAACACCATCATACAGAGCGAAAACACTGGCAGACCTTTAAACACTAAATCCAGACCCTGAAATCCAGTCCTTTCCAACACTCACCCTGACGGGCCAATAACATAAGTGGGCGGGTTGGTACAGAAAGGCAGAAAGGGGTCATTTGGGTTCTCTTACCAATATAACTTTATCTCAGAACATGACCACAGTCCATACCTGAACTTGTCTAGCTACAGCTATATCGCAAATGCTTAATGTCAACATTAAGGAAAGGCGGTTAGAATGAGGATAATTCATGATCACAATTTAATCCACTACAGTGGATGAAAGCTATTTGTAAAGTAAAATAATACAACTTTCACATGAACACAAGAAAATATGGATGCACATCTTAAATCACCCAAGGTAGTGTTTTCTTTTTTTAAAAATATGATATGAAAAAAAACATTGATATAAAATATGTGGCCAGATGACTCCAAATTTTAAAAAACAGTCCTTCTGCTTGATAAAGTTCACTATGAAGTTAAAAGACTAGGAGAAGGTATTTACAATGCATATAGCTGACAGAAGACTAATGCTATTTGAATTTTGAAAATGACTGCTACAAATCAATCAAAAAGCATAAACTCAGAAAACTAAGCAAAAGATACAAGCAATCCATAAAGGA